AAGTGTCTGGAGATGAGAAAGAAACAGAGAGGGAGGTTAAAAATCAGAGGCAGGCAGACAGCTAGTGCTTCCAGAGAACTCCATGCAGCTGTTTTGAGCCTCCATGTTTTTGACCTCAGGCCTGGCTGGCTTCTGGGCCTGAGGTGCCTATACTGGTAACTGCAACTTAATCTCTAATCTGTTAGCTCTTGGCTCCATCAACAAGGGCTGACATTTTTCTTGGCTAAAACCCAGAATGTGCCCTGACTGATCTGAATTTGTACTTATCACAAGGTGCTGATTAGGCCGAAGTAGAGTGACAGGTGTTAGAAGATGCTGAAAGGGCGAAATTCCCCTGCTGTCAGGCTGGACCAAGCAGGAAGGGGCCCAGTACAAAGTCTGCTGCTGCCTCTGTGCAACTGGGGCTGGACGGGTTTATCTTTTCTCACAGTTAAATGATCTTACCTCCTATCCCTTTCCTTAAATAAAAGGAAAAAAACATTTATGAGTAATCTACATTATTGGAAAAATCAAGGAGGATGAAGGAAAAACAATACAACATTTCTTTATTGTCCAGAGAAAAGAGTTCTCCTGGTTCCCCCAACCACTCAGTATATACAATTAGGGAGCATTATGTTTGAAACCTTAATAAGGTCATGGGAAATCATCTTCATGACAAATTTTACCTTTTTTCCATTGTTCAAAATGTTATTTTGCATCTATATAACAAATAGATATTTCTAGAACCTACTTTATCAGTAAACACAGCATCTGTGTGAAAGAGATGGTTTTGTCTCCAATTTACAGTTGAAGATACTTTGAAAATTCAAATGAATTTTCCAAATTTAAGCATCCATTTAAATATCGGAGCCTCAAATTCAGGCTTTATAACTCAAGTGTAGAACATTTTCCTCTTAAATACAACTACAAAAACAAGAGCTTAAGAAACACACTTATATACACATCCCATTGTATTATTGTCCACTGGAAATATGTCATTGTTCAATAGAACACTAAAGAAATTAAACTCATAAGCTTTCTTGAATATTAATCATAAATTGTGTTTTGATATATCCAAGGTGATTAGTGATATTCAGACTGTGCAGAAGGTAGATGATCCTGAAAATGGAATAGAAATGTGTTTAATTTATTTATTCAGGGTATATATTTTGCTGATAAATTTGTGGGTGTAATTTCATTATCATGATTAGAGTTGGGTAAAATTTTTAGATTTTATTGTAATTTCTACCGAGAAGTTCAGATCTCTTCCTTAGAGTAAGAAAAGTACAAAGAAACACTGCACCCTCTGCTTTGTGTGAGCCTAGTCTGAAAAATGGGGAGGAGAAGAAAGAACCCAGAGGAGCAGAGACAAATAATTCCAGGCTTTATACTGCTGTCATGAATTCCCAGAATATTGGGAAAGCTGCCAAAATCTTGTTTCTTAGGATGAACTGTTGCCAAAACATATCATTATTTGCAAATGCCGTTAAGAGGTAGAAAGCTAACATTTTGTTCCTTAAAATAGCAGTAAAGGAAAATAGATAATAAAACCAGGTAAACATTTCCAAAATCTGTTTTCAAAATGCTAAAATATTGCCCAATAGGTCTAGTTTGGCCAATATCCAATTTTAAGGACAGTTGGTTCTAAAAATGGAAAGAGACTATCTTGTGAAGAAAATGATCAGAGAAAATCTTGTGAATGAAAAAGTCATAAGTTTATGAAACAAAAGTCTTCCCCCAAAAAACCAACAAAAACTCAGACTCAATCCTGTCAAGTTAGAACTGACTCATAGTCGACCCTCCATTGAGTTTTATAGATAGCATGGGAGGAGATGGTCCATTTTTCAAACCACCAAAGTGCTCTGGCCTTTGTGTTGGCAGTATGACTTTGCCATCAAAGTTCCCTGAACAAAAAGGAAGAGAAAATGTGGGAGTGGATTAATTTGTTCATTCATTTGAACACTTCACACTTATTTATCATATTCTATGTGCTGGGTGAGTTACATGGATAATGAGATTGTCTGTAAGAAGCTGGTAGTTACTTGTGAGACAGATTCATAAAACAATGACTGAGGCTCAAGAAGGGTGGTGGCACACCACATGATTTGAGTCCATTGCTATAGGCAAAGAGAAAGAAGCTCTTAAGTGTTTAGGAAAGCAGGGCACTAATCTTACAGAGAGGAGAAGATATTTGAGCTAGGTCTAAAAGCATGAAGAGGAGGAAGGAAGCATTCATGCCTACTGTGTAATCAGCACTGTGACAGTTCTAAGAAGACTCAGACACTTTAAAAGTTCAGGGCATGGCAATGTGCCATGCATTATTATAAAGTGTAGTTTTCTATTCAAAAATCAGAAAATGACACTGAATATATCCTTGTTGGTTGGTTTTATTATGCTCCCCCCTCCCCTTGCCACCTCAGACTAATGAATTTAAAAGCAAAAATTGGAAGTTCTGTTCCACAAAAAGCTACTAGAAAAAAATTCTTTTCATTCAGTTTTGCCAAAGACAATGCATATAAATATATCCAGAGGAGGTACTTCTGTTAAAAGACTTTAACAAGGCCTTTAGGAAGGGACAGATATGTCATATTTTAAACTGTTTAATCCCTGTTGGTTTAAGAATGATCTCTTAGAATTGGAGTTACTGAGGCCAGATTTAGGTTCATTATTTTAGACTTTGATTTTTTTTTCTCCCAACTGTTTTACAGAGGATTGTTTCAGTATACATACCCACCAAAAGCACAATGAATTCCCATTTCTCTTACACCTTTCCCAATAATGGGCTGTTCTTATTTTTAAATTTTGCGTTATTTGCCAATCAAATAATAGTTTCTTATATGGTTTTAACTTTATTTTTTTTCATCTTAAGAATAACACCAGGTTTTTATTATATTAATTGCTTATCTTTATATATTTCTACTTATATATATTTCTTTTAAAAAAATACTTATTAATTTCATACTGTGCAAAGTGGTGAAGACAGGACTGAGTACACGTTTTGCAGCGAAGACATGGTGCGAGAAGATGTTTTACAGTCTCTCTACCCTTGTTAAGGTGGTGCTGTTGTTCTGTCTTTGCGGCAATAAATTGTCTAATGCACGCAATTTGAAAAAAAATACTTATTAATTTCAATGAAAATGTACAGACTTTGGGTTTCCATTCATTCATTGTTGCACTTTTCTGCCCTCCCAACCCTCACTCCAGTACACTACCCTCTTGGAAAAGTAAAAGAAAAATTCTTTCATCATTTTACAAACCCTCCCCCAGGTCCACTCTACTATGCAGCCTTTGCTCTGGACTCCTGTCATGACAAAAATACCCAATCACATACCCCTTTTAAACAGTTTTCTCCCTTATCTGTTTCAGTGCAGTATACAGTATTGAACCCATCTTTCTCAGTCTCCCCCCAACCCTGATATCAGTCCTATTTTACAACAGTGGCATCATGCCGCATTTGTCCTTCTGTGACTGAGATATTTCACTCAGCATAATGTCCTCCAGGGTCCCCCATTTTGAATAATATTGCATGAGTTCCTTGTTTTTCAATGCAGCGTAGTATTCCATTGTTTGACTATACCACAGCTTCTGTATCCATTTGTTTGTTGATGGGCACTTAGGTTTTTTCCAACTCCTTGCTATTGTGAACAAAGCTGCAGTAAACATGGATGTGATACCTATTTCTTATGCTGGTTTTTCTATTGAACTTTGGCCTTTTTCTTATTATGAGGTTTTCTTCTGTAAGTGTATTAAACACCTACCTTACACTGAAAAAGTAGTTCTTCTGTTTTATTTTGTCATTGATGCTTTAACTTGATCTATGTTAGTTTTGTTGTATATAAATGCTACTTTTAAGGTAGATAAATACATCCATTTTTTCCCCTTTATGAATTCTGCATTTACATGTATTTACCACTTTGTAAGACTTTAGAAAATACTTATGTAAGGGAGCTCTGGTGGCCTAGTGGCAAGACGATGTTCTGCAATCCAGAAGGCACCTGGTTAGAATCCACCAGGTGTTCTGAGGGAGAAGGATGGGCAGTCTCTTCTCATGTATTTGACTGCTTCTGAAAACCCACAGAAGCTCAGCTATGGGTCGATTTCCAACTTGATGGTACACAACAACAACAACATAGGTTTTTATATGTTTTCCATTTTTATGTTTGAAGTTTTAATCCATCTGGTATTCCTCTTAGTGTCGGTTTGTTTGGGGTTCTTTTAGGATAAAACAGTAATTTCTTTTTAGCTGTTTCTCCAAATACCATTTCAAAAAAAGTCTGTCCTTTTCCAGCAAGCTTAAGAGAACTCTTTATCATCTTCTCAAATCTCATATGTTCTGATGGCTTTTCTAAGTTCTTTTTTTCCCTTATTTTTCTACTAGGCTGAAAATTCATGATGACAACTTTTGTTCCTTTGCTGGTAGTTTGGTTTGTTTGCCTTTCCCCACCTCCCTTCCTTTTTTTCTCTCTCACATTCACCCTTTATAATTGATATGTAAAGTTCTACCAAATTATTCCACTGACCTCTTATTGGTATTTACCTGTATATCTAAATTACTTTGGGAAGCATCAACTTTTTTTCAGTGAATATTATTTAATATATAATTCTAACCATAGGTCCAAATCCTCAGTAAAGTGTGTGGCTTTTCTTAGTTGGATCTATATACATAGTGAGAAGGCTCAGTAGCATGGTGCTTTAAATTCCTGGCTGCTAAATAAAAGGTTGTCAGTTTGAACCTGCCAGCTGCTCTGTTGGAGAAATATGATGCAATATACTTATGTATTATAGCCTATAGGAAATATATATACTATAGCCTATATGTATAATATAGGCTATATAAATATATATAGCTTATAGATTATAGCCTATAGGAAACCCTGGGGGATTTCTGTTTTGTGGGGCTCCTGTCAGTCAGAATCAATTCAACAACAAGTTTTAGTTTATTTCATTTGCTGACTGTTGGGTTTATTCTCAAGCATGTTGGAGAAATTGAGTTCATCACAGCTGCTTGCTCCCCCTGCCAGGTTCTGACCACATCCGTGAGAAGGATGGGCTGTGGGCCGTACTTGCCTGGCTCTCCATCCTAGCCACCCGCAAGCAGAGCGTGGAGGACATTCTGAAAGATCACTGGCAAAAGTATGGCCGAAATTTCTTTACCAGGTAAGCTGCAGCCTGGCTGAGGATGAGTGGGAAAGCAGGCTGGGAGGATTCTCCTACATCTAAAGTCTTTCTTAGCATAGCGGCAACGAAACCCTAATCCATCCAGCCTCTACTAATGAAGAAGTTTTTAAACAATTTTGTCAAAGCTGAGATGAAGTCAATTGTTACGTCAGCCATAAAGAATGAAGCTCAAAACATTATTAACATTTTCAATAGAATAAATACTTTATAAGCATTTTAAACTTGGATGTGGTAGGATACAGAAGCATGAGTTAAAATTTTATTTCTAGGAAGTTGTTTAATGTCTTGCTCTGTTTCAGCTTTCTAATCTGTAGAAATGAGAACAAAAACCTAGTTCGTTTTAGGATTAAAGAGATCCTGCTTTTGCAAGTGTTTGGTTAACTCTGGGGCCACTTAATGTCTGAAAAAGAGCTTTTCCTTAAATTCTAGGAAAGAAAAACCCCAACTTAGTACAAGTAAAATTTTCTCAGTCATTAAAATAGATCCGCAAAAGTTATGTGCTAAACATTCATTGATTTAACAAACACTCACTGTTTATCTACTTTCTGCCAGGTACTTAGAGTCTAGCAGGGAATAAAACACTTAGAAAATGTAGTAATTCTTCCCTACTGTGCATGTTCTTATTTCCAAAATCATTATTAATTAATATTATGTATTAGGTATCTTTTTTGGGTCAGTAATGCTTTCCCAGTTTGCCTTTTCTCCAATATATGTGTGAAAACCTACCATATTATTTTTTTTTCTCCTGGTTCTCACAATTCTAATTCTGGGAAGGAAACATTAGAAAACAAATATTTGATACATTGTTAATCTGTAAGAAATGTATAAATGTAATTTGTCTTAATGTGAGTTGCTTTTTCTATGGAATGGGTAAGTTAACCAGAAATTTTAAACATTATAACTCAAATTACATAGTCTATGATCTCTAGATAATCTAGATAGTTAAGCACTTTGGGTTTCTCAACTAGAAACCCTTTAACTATTTTGTATAAGTTTATTAACTTTCTCTTCCCTCAACTTGTTCTTTGTGGAAGACATAAAACATAATACTATCCGGTGCCACAAAGCAGTGGGGCAGTAGTGGTTCAGTGGTGGGATTCTCACCTTCCATGCTGGAGACTAAAGTTCTATTCCTAGTCAGTGCACTTGATGTGCAACCACAACTCATCTGTCAGTGGAAGTTTGCGTACTGATGAGCAGTTTCTAGACTAAGAAAAATGAGAAAGAAATGGCAACCTTGGTTTTTAAAATGTCATGGCACTGGAGACATTATCACTAATGTTAGAGTACCAGAGGAATGTCTCTTTCATTGAGTATGCAAATGCATTTGACTACTTAGATTACAAGGAATTGTGGCTAACCTTGAGAAGAATGGGAATCCCAGAACACTTGATTGTTCTCATACAAAGCCTACACTTAGACCAGGAAGCAGTCGTCAGAACAGAGCAAGGAAACACTACATAGTTCAAAATCAGGAAAGGAGTGTGTAAGGGATGCGTCCTCTCACCATACATTTTCAGTCTATGTGTGGAGTAGATCATTCAGGAGGTTGGGCTTTATGAGGAGGAACATGCCACCAGAATTGAAGCAAGATTCATCAACAACCTGCATTATTCAGATGATACAATCTTGTTTGCTGAAACTGAGGAGGACATGAAGTGCTTGCTGCAGAAGACTATAGTCTTCAATATGGATTGAAGCTCAACATCAAGAAGACAAATATTCTCACCACTGGGCCAATTTGTTTACAATTTCTGTTTGCTTGGCTCCAAAATCAACACTCTTGGCTCCAGCAGCCAGGAAATAAAAATATTATTTGCACTGGGAAAATCTGCTGTCAAGGACCTCTCCAGAGTTCTGAGAAAAAATGATGTCAGTCTAGAGACCAAAGTGCACCTGATCTAAGCCATGGTCTTCATAATTACTTGCTATGCATCAGAAAGCTGGATGCTCTGGATGACAGAAGAAGAATCAATGCCTTTGAGTTGTGTTGCTGGAGAAGAGTCTTGAACATACCATGGACCACCAAGAGAAGAAACAAGTCTGTTTTGGAGAGGGTAAAACCAAGTTTCTCCTTGGAAGCTAGGATTGTGAAGTTCCGTCTCATATATACTTTGAACACATGGCCAGGAGGGACTGGTCCTTGGAGAGACATCGTGCTCAGAAGGGTGGAGGGACAGCACAGGAAAGGAAGACCCTGGATGAGATAGATTGACGTAGTAACTGGGATAATGTGGGGAGGTGTGTCAGAGTCAGAGAGACTGGCTCAGGACAGGGCAGGCTTCAGAACTGCTGTACAAAGTATCACTGTGAGTCACAAGTGACTAGACATCACCTAATAACATCAATAGTGAGCTACTTTAAGAGCTGGAAAAAACCAAGTAATAGAGCACTGCAGTCATGAACCCATCACAAGGACAGGAACGTGCCAATTTTCATGTTTCCTGGTATCATTCATCAAATGCCTACCTCTTAGTAAACACTGTGTATATCCTTTTGGTAGATTGATAATTGAGCTGATAAATGAACAGAACAGAATAAGGTTAGGAGGTTCAGAGAATGGTTCATTCTTGAATTAAAGTCTCCATTTGAAAGTGCTTTAATATATATGTATTGATTTAAAAGATAACTGCTTTACAAGTATTGCAAAATAAAATCCTTAAAGCTGGCATTTTTGAACAGTTAAGCCTCCAAAATACCATTCATAAAGGTAACAAAAGTGCTTTTTTGCTAAATACCATTTTTCATTTTGTTTAAAACTTTTATTGATGTTTACTGACATAGGGAGAGAGGAAGCAACTTGCCGATGGTCCCATGGCTAGTAACCCACAGAGGCTGAATTCCTAGCTCCTTCTGTCTGATTCCAAAGCCCAGATTCTTTCCATTACACCCCTCTGTGCCTAGGATTTATAGAACATTTCCCTTGAACACCCAAAGGTCACAGATGCAAAGCACAAACACCTGGTTGTAATTTCTTGCTGTTTATCATTTTAACTGGGGAAAAGAGCTGACTTCAGGATTAAGGGGACTGTTTTGTCCTTGATTCATAGAATCCTGGAGCCAGAGTATGTTGGCCTTAATTCCTGGTATTTCTCATGTCTCAGAGGTGTCATCTTGCACATATCATGTTTGTTTCACTATTGCAAGTAAATATAGACTCTGCTATCTTGAGCCTCTGAAAAATAACTCTCTCAAGAATGTTTATGCCACTAGGTCAAGAAAAGCCACTTGTAAGAGTCTTTAACCTCAAAAGAAAGAAGTCAAGAACAGTTCTTGGAGGGGAAATGTAATTGTGGAATGAATTTGTGATGTACTTCTTTTCCCTGGTCCTTTTGCACTCTAACCAGTGCCCCCATGTCAGGGTGGTTCCAGAGCCCTTGGAACAGAATCCCCTCTTGCTGAAAGGATGGAAGTGTTTCAGATGTAATGAGTTAGGGTCTGGTCCCTTCAGCTGGTCAGCGAAAACTTGGCTGCCCTTTCAGAAGCTCCTGTGGAGACTGGAACTCTCCATAGCCAAATTCTCAGCAGTCTCCCATCAAGTCCCAGATGTGAGGCAGTCCCAGCACTCACCCCAAAGAGCTCAAGGCGTTAGGAAGAGAGGGGCCTGACTCATTGGCTTATTTATGCGGAGTTTTGGAGATAACATTGCTTTTAATTCTACCTCCTCAGGATGTGGTGATTAAATATTAGATAATATCTCTCAAAAGCCTTTGAAGCTCCTTAAAGCTTTATTCTGTAGAAAAGCCAAGATGGAGGTTTTCTCCTTATTCGGAAGCTCGTAACTCTTCCTTGAAATCCTCCAGGCTGGTGATTTTTCCAGCCCATCCTTCCATTCCTGGCCTGATCTATCCCCTGTGACTGACAAGCTCATTCGCTTGCCAGCGTCTTCTGAAGTTAGGTGGTTTTGGGGAAGGGCCAACTGAATGATGAAGAAAGTGCTAAAATACCTTTGTAGGATGTGAACTCAGCCCGTGGGCCTCAACTTCATGACTTCTTCCAGGTACGATTATGAGGAGGTGGAAGCTGAGGGTGCAAACAAAATGATGAAGGACTTGGAGACCCTGATGTTTGATCGCTCCTTTGTGGGGAAACAGTTTTCAGTGGGTGACAAAGTTTACACCGTGGAAAAAGCGGATAACTTTGAATATAGTGATCCAGTGGATGGAAGTATTTCAAGAAACCAGGTAGGAGCAGATTCTTGTGGTTATGGGAAAGTACTCTCAAGAGTGTTAGCTCTGACAGCTCAAGGAAAGCAGGAAGGCCTGCTGGTCAGAGAGTCTTTACTGCCTTGTTTTTCCAGGGTTGTCGGCGTTGTTAGGTATCATTGACTAGACTAGACTTTTCCAGGGTAGTTGCTCTTAATAGCTTTTCTGCCAAATCACACATGATATTCCCACACTGTTGTTAGGTGCCAGTGAGTTGCTGTTGTTGTTAGGTGCCGTCGAGTCACCTGCGACTTACAGCAACTCTGTGTAAAACAGCCCTAAACCCTGTTCTGTCCTGTGCCTCTCTCACTGTCTCCGACACACCTACACCCATTACCCCAGTTCCTGAATCAATTCACCTCATAAGAGGGCCTTCCTCTCCTGCGCTGTCCCTCCACCCTCCCAAGCACAACATCCTTCTCCAAGGACTGGTCCCTCCTTGCAAAATGTGTAAGGCATGCCAGATGAACCTTCAGAATCCTTGCCACAAAAAACAGCCTGGTTTAACCCTCTCCAGGATGAACCTGTTCATTTCCTTAGCAGTCCATGGTCTATTCAATACTCTTTTCCAGAACCACAGCTCAAAGGCAACTCCGACACATAGTGAGATCAAAACCTTGCCTAGTTTTGCACTATCCTCATAATCTCTGCTCAGCTTAAGTCCACCATTGCAATCCATCTTATTGAGGGCCTTTCTCTCTTGCTGACCCTCCACCTTTCCAAGCATGATGTCCTTTTCTTTTCTAAGGCTTAAAAACCAAAAATCAACACATTGCATCTTCATAACTGGCCCTCCACTGAGATTTCAAAGCTGTAAATTACATGGAACAAGATGGGCCATCTTTCTCCTGAGAAGCTGATGGTGGATTCACCCTGCCAGAGAGGCTTGTTCTTTGAATTAGCGACACATTTCCCTACAGACTAGGTCACTAATGCTCTCTGTTCTAAGGACTGAGCCCTCCAAATAACATGCCCAAAGGGTAGAGGATGAAGTCTCAGGATTTCACTACCTGTACTTCTTCCAAGGCAGTCAGATCTATTTGAAGAGGAATTACTTTTCCCTGCTTTTAACAATGTCCTTTGCCCTCATTCTTGAATTATATAGGGATTTTATTACCCACAAAATTATATGCAAGATGCAGTGTTGAGTGTCATGTGCAGAAAGGACTCAGAAATCTAAATAGGAGAGAGCTGCTGCTTTAGAAATCAATTCCTTCATTTTACCTCATGAGATCCTGTATAGATTTTTTTTTTATATCTTCTAATTTCTAAAATAAGAAGCTCTGGGGCCTAGTGGTAAGAAGCTATGCTGCAGTCCTGAAGGCATGTGGTTCGAATCCCACCAGTTGCTCCGCCAAAGAAGGATGGGCAGTCTCCTCCTGTGCAATTAACTGCCTCTGAAAACCCTCCAGAGGGTCAGCTGTGGGTCGGTTCTGACTCGATGGTACCCAAAAAACAATTTCTAAAAAGAAAAAAAAGTATATAAGTTACCCAGACACTTTAAAATGTTATTATCCACAGCACATTCCTTGCAGTATTCCCTAAAACAGCAGTACAGAACAAAGATACATTTTCAGAACAATACTGTTCATCTTTGACAACCATTAGTACCATAATTTTTGGGAGCTAATGAAGGCAAAAAAAAGTTGGGATTTGGGAGGTTAGGGAAAAGAATTTTAGAACAAATGTCAGACAATCTAGATTCTGTCTGGATTCTCTCTGTCCAGGCTACGTGACCTTGGGCAGTCACTTGTCACCAACCTTCAGCGTCTTCATTTGCAAAATGAAAATCATCTCAATGCTTGTCATTTCCTACCTCACACTTTGTGAAACTAAAATGAGGCAAAACTGGCTGTACAAATTCTTTGAAACTTGCAAAACACTAAGTGAATGAGTTTAAGAGATTATGCCTCACATTCTTGAGCATTCCAGAGCTATAATTCAACTTGTGGGAGAAAAGTTAGCATAGCTCTCTGGTGGCCTAGTGGCAAGAAAATGTCCTACAATCCTGAAGGTACGTGGTCCAAGGCCCCCAGCTGCAGAGAAGGATGGACAGTCACCTCCCGTGCAATTAACTGCCTCTGAAAACCCACTGGAGGGTCAGCAATTCTGACTCTACATTACACAACAACAATAACAAGATGTCCAAAAATACCTGGCAAGAGGGAGAGTGTGACTGTCAAAAAACCAACAAGAAACAGAATATGAGTGGTATTTGCACAGAAATACAGTGCCTGAGGAAGGAAGAAAGGCAGCGCACACACTGTACTTGGTTCTATGCTGGCAGCTGCATGTAACTGTCTTTCTAATTGCTCTTGAGCCAGAAGCAGCGTAGTTGACCCTCCACTGAGTTTCCGAGGTTCTAAATGATGTGGGAGGAGATTGCCTATCTTCATTCTGAGGAGTGGCTGGTGGATTTTGGTTAGCAGTGAAGTTCCATATGGATTATGCCACCAGAGCTCCTTCCTGGATGTATTTTGTTGTTATGTACTGTTCCATTCAGAATTAACTCATAGCTGACCCTCCAGTGGATTTTTAGAGGTTGCAAATCACATGGGAGGAGATTGCCCATTTTTCTTCTGTGGAGCAGCTGCCAGATTTGAACCATGTGCCTTTGGGTTGGCAGTACAGCTCCTTACCGCTAAGTCACCAGAGCTCCCCAAGGTACAGAGCTGAATAAATCCTACCCTTAAACACAGTACATGATGATGACCGTGATGATTTCGCCTTGACCTGTCCTCTTGGCCTCCTCTCTCACCATATGCTCCCCTCTTGCTCTTCACCTCTTTGAACCCTTAGGAAGTCCTTGACTAATCATGTTTTCTCTTTTCTCTCTCTGGAGCACTCTCTTTTTGTCCTTTTCCAAGGATTAAAACTTGTTCCTGCTGAGGAAGGAACCAACTAAATGAAAATGTTAGCTAAGTTCTCTAGGACGTGTTGGACAGCTTAAGCATCTGTCCCTCTCGGCAATTCTTCCTGACCCTCAAACATGGCCCTATTAGGTATTCCCATCGTGCTCTTGTGCTCACACCTATTGAAGCACTTGTGGAAATTATTTTGGAGTGTTTTTCTGTTCTTCTTACTAGACTGTGAGCAACTCAAGAGAAAGGTACTTTATTCAGCAGGAGAACACGTGCTTGGTGGAGAATATGTCAGAGACACCCAGTGGACATTCACTGATGGAAGGAGGAGGGTGGTCAGGTTGAAAGACCCTTGGGTTAGAATGCTGAAGGCAGAGGCTTTTCTAAATATAAAGTGACAATAAGATACATTCTCTCCTTCTTAATTGAAACACCTCATTACAGACTATGGAAAAATTGGATCTAAGATCGAGACCACATTTCTCATTTTACAGATTTACAGATGAGGAACCTCTGGAAATTCTATGACCTTTGATAAATGTTGGTAGTTATCGGAAGGCTTCAGGCCTTTTGTTCACAGTGTCTCTATGAGTCGTGCTTGACTTGAAAGCAATCAACAACAATAGCAATTAAACTTTGGGGGAGGTTTGAGGATGAGCAACAGATGAGTAGTGTCTGTCCTCCTGGCTGGTCATTCAAATTAGCCAAAGCTCTTTTGAATGGAGCTCTAGTAGCATAGCCTGTCGGGAGTTGTGCTGCTATCCCAAAGGCAGCACGTCTCTGGCAGTTCACATCTACCAGCCTCTCTGTGGTAGAAAGATGGGCAATCTCCTGACAAGTGATTTACAGCCTCTAAAAACCCACTGGAGAGAGGGTTAGCCATGAGTCCATTTCCGACTCTATGGCAGTGAGTTGAATTTCTTCTTTTTATGAAGAATTGATGAATGTATGAAGCCGTAAGGGTCATTGGACAACTGTCTTGCCCATCATTTTACTAAAACCATGGAACTTCTAGTCATGGCCTCAACTCTTTGCTCTGAAGCAAAAAAAGCAAGGAGGAAGAGAGCTGCTGCCCGGAAGGAAGGAGGGCAACAGGGAGAAAGGCTGGGCTGTGCACCACACCAGGTGAGCCCCTCTGCAAGTCATCAGTCATCATGGGTGATTGGACCACCGGGTCACAGTTAGTAATGGTTAGCCTGTGTCATTTGACATATGACAATCTGTGCTTTCTGTGAGACTCTCAGTGTTTTCACTATGAATTCTCCTCCTGGTTTTCCTCTTCTGCTTTGTTTCCAGCCCATTCTGTCTCTAGTGCTTTCCTTGTCAGAAAGGGGAGATGGGCGTCCTGTGGCATGCACCATATCCTGATCTAGGGATGGGTTGTCTGTATCTCGAGGCATTGCTTAGTTATTAAGCTTCAAATTGAAATGACTAGTGCATAAATCACAGCAAAGCGGGGAGGGGAGGGGAGGGGAAGCATCATGTCCTACTACATCACAGGGATCCACTCTCCCACCTGACCCTGGGGATGCTCCTCCCGCATTAGCTAAGCCCCATTATCAGAAGGCACTGAGAGGCTGACAGAAAGCAGATTCATGAGGCTCAATTGCTGCCATTCATCAAGGATCTAATCCTCCGATTGATCCAGTATGGATGAAATTAGGTCTCCAAACAGACCCTTTGTAATTTGCCAACCGTCTATATCCCTTCCAACATGTGGGGGAAATTTCTTGCTTATCTTTTTCAGGGCTTGCGGCTCATTTTTGCAGATGGTTCTCGCATCATCTTCCGGCTGAGTGGGACTGGAAGTGCAGGGGCAACCATTCGACTATACATTGACAGCTATGAGAAGGATGTCGCCAAGATCTACCAGGACCCTCAGGTAATGTTCATACCTTGTGAGCTATGAATTCTTTCTGGTGTAGGGAACGGTTGTGGTTTCATTGAACCTGTATTATTAACAGTGCCTCCAGCCACTGATCAAACGAGATTCCAGCTGTGCTCTCTCTTCTTCGTAATCTCTTTCAGTGCCTCATAACAATAGTAATAGCTAACAAATATCTGAGATTTGCTATTTGCCAAGCGATTTGTCAAGTGAACCCCATTACCTGGATATCCTCAGATGGGAAGATTCCATTATCAGCCCTACTATAAGGAAACTGGAGGAAGGGGAAATGGTTAAATTGTAAATTCACAAGCCTAATAAGTGGCAGATTCAGGGTGAGTATCTCTAAAGGGAACTTGGTACTGTAGTCTGGTGCCCTGACAACCCAAAGGTTAAATCTCTCTGGTGGTTCGAATCCACCAGCCTCTGTGAGAGAGAAAGAGACAGGAAATCTTTTGTGCCTCTGAATCTTTATAGCCTCTGAAAACATGCTGGAGGGTCAGCTGTGAGTTGATTCTGACTCGATGGCAATTCGTGAATCATCTGGCGTTGTGACCTGTCACTGATTATTTGCTATTTTGTTTGCACTGATCACTGGCACTGACAGAATACACACTAGTTCTGGATTTGGTTACAGGGGAGAGGCAGTTTCATGACCCAGTCAGAGTGTCTTCAGTGAAAAAAAAAGAAATCTAATGATTTGAAGCATGGGGGTTTGGGCTCCTGACTACACCCCACAACTCTTCCCAAGGCCCTGCAGATGAAAACTGTGAGGTCAGCCACCATTAGGAGGAGATTGACGAGGGGCAGTGAATCACAGAGAGGTTCCCAAAGTGTGGTCCTCACAATGTGTGCCTTCATAGATCCTTCCAATCAGAGTTCTGTGACCAAACAGAAAATGTCCACGTTTTTGTATGCTCCACCAGCCCTTCACAATAAACAAAGACGTTAAACAAAAAACCAACCAGTTCCTGTCAAGTCAGTTCCAACTCCTTTGACCTCATGTGTGCTAGAATAGAACTGTGCTCCACAGGATTTTTATTGGCACCACCCAGAGATTCTTCATAGCAAATGCCCATTACCATTGAGTCAATTCTGATACACAGAATTTCCCCATAGAGTTTCTGAGGATGTAAATCTTGATCGGAGCAGACTCCCAAATTGTTCTCCCACCTAGAAGCTGGTGGGTACCAGATGCCTGTCTTCCAGCTGGGTGCTTTAACACGTTGCCGCACACTTTTAAATTGACGACCATGCTTAGAAACACATTTTTCCCCCCAATTGTTTATGACTACCATACGAATGATGTTGTTCTTTTTTTTTATTAATTAAAATGTGCAGGACGGCTGTAGCCGTCATTTGTAGTAATATGTTAACCTCTGCATCACCAGGGCTCCTTCTCACAACACATGCTGTTGTTGTTATTGTCAGATGAGAACCAACTTTGAATTGGTTCTCACTCATCACGACCCATTTACAACACTATTCAGTCCTGCATTGTCACAATCATTGCCAATTTGAGCCCATTGTTACAGCCTCTAGGCCAGGCCATCTCTTCGGGGGTCTTCCTCTTTTATCACTGACCCTCTCTACTTTAGCAAGGATGACCTCCTTCTCCTGGACTGGTCCCTTACAGGTAACACGTCTAAAGGAAATGAGACAAAAATCTCACCACTCTTGCTTCGAAGGAGCATATTGGCTATACGTCTTCCAAGAAATATTTCCTGTTCTTTTTTGCAGTCAAAGGCATATTCAATATTCTTTGCCAACATCATAATTTAAAAGCTTTCATTTTTCTTCAGCCTTCTTTATTCATTGTCCAGGTTTTGAATTCATATGAGGCAATTAGAAATGGAATGGTTTGGGCACAACTTGGTCCTCAAAGTAGCACACTTGATCTTTAGCATTTTTGTTTGTTTGTTTGTTTTTTGTTTTGTTTTTTTATTTTGTGTGCGTGTACCGTCAAATCAGATCTGACTGGTACAGGAGGATATTGCTCCTCCTTCTCCGGCAGAGCATCTGGTGGATTTGAACCGTGTTCCTCTGGGATTGCTGTGCAGCTTCTTGCCACTAGGCCACCAGAGCTCCCCTTGATCTTTAGCATTTTAAAAAAAGGTTTTGCAGCCTATTTGCCCAGTGTAATGCATCATTTAACTTCTTGACTTCTACTTAATGGGCATGGATTATGGACCCAAATTAAATGAAATCTTTGACAACTCCAACAGGACTTTTATTTTCTTAATGATGAGGTATATAATCTATTTGGAAAGCTATGGTGATGAAGGAAGAAGTTCAAGCTGCTTTGAAGGAAATAGCAAAAAATAAGGCCCCAGGAATAGATGGTATACCAATTGAAGTATT